AGGCATTTCTGTGAGGAACAGCAGCAGGAATCCTGGGTGAAAAAGGTTGCTATCTGAGGCTGACCTGTTGCTTCTTTCAGTCCCCTAGGACCAACACTGCCTTAGAATCCCATCTAATTGCACAGGTAAAGGAATTTCACAGGGCTCTAATGTGTTTGGTCTTGTTCATCCAGTTCTTTTTTATCTTCATCTGTCAATTTCTGCCCCTTGATTCTCTTGCAGTCCAGAATCATTCCCAGTATTCCTGGTGAGGATTGCCCATCCCATGAGGAAGGTCCTGCCAGAGGGTCATTCTATATTTGCACTGAAGCCAGTGGCCAGCACACAAAATTTCTGACACTTTCATGGCTCCATGAACTTGACTCTTTTTGCAGAATTAGTGAGGGATGTGTGGCAGAGTATCAAAAGTTTGTCCTTAAATCTCTATGTCTTTCCCATAAACAGATGTTGATATTTGAAAAACGGAATGCCCTTGCTAGCATTCCATTCTATTTCAATATGTTGAGAAAATTTTGCCTTTAATATTGTTTCCTACCCTTGCACACTAACTACTTTCGAATGTTTTTCTGATAGTTTGGGGATTCCTGATTGCTAACTGAAAAGTCAGAACTTCAGCATTCCCAGACTTACAATAAACATAATCAGCTTCTTAAGTGCAGTGTGTTTTCTTGCACACAAGTCTAACCAAAGCCCCTTAAGACTGCTGCAAATTTTCTTTAATTTACTCAAGATAAGCAAGGATACTTTCTTTCCATTTCTTGTAACTTCAAAAAATACATCAGAAAGGAGTGTTTTCTTTTAACTTGTTACAAATAATGAGGAAGCTTAAAGAATATCTTTGGAGAATCTCTATGCTTAATGATAATAGTTATCTATGGTCAGTATACAGAGAATACTTATATTTATCCTTACATGGATGAAAGATTAATTTTTAACCATGGAAGGGCTTTTGAAATTAGAAAATGTCTTTAATAAATTCTCTTGGTCTTCTCCTCAAGCATTTATTTTGGAAGAATTAATAAGTTGTGGAAATTACTTGTGCTCCTTAGAGAGGTGCTGTGTAAATGTAAGGTAACAGTATAAGGAGCCATTATATTAAGCATCAGATAATTATTTGAAGGACTATGAAACTTTAACCCATGGTGATTAAAATATTTTTTTCTGAAATTTTGGAAATGATTAATGTTCAATTCTGAATGAGAATTGTCATTGCTAATAGCTTTGGAGAGTATCATCAAGCAATATTCCTTGTGCTGAGTTAAGCGACTTATAAACCTAATCATAGTCATTTCCCATAGGAGAAAATATGAAATAGTTTGCTTTAGGCAGTACTGAAGAATTTCCAAGGAGAGCTTTTATTTTTCTTTACAATTCACAGAGGTGTTTTACTATAATGCACAGTCCACCGCCTGCTTAACTGGCTTTTCAATGTCATAAATGTAAGGTTACCTTGGGTTAATTTTCCTGTGTCCACCTGATCTGGCAGATCCTCCCCCGCTCCCTTCCTCAAAACTGTCAGCAAGATGACTGATTACAGCCAACTGCAAGTCCCCTTTTGGAATGAATGACCTTTTCTGGAATCAAGTTAGAAATTCAGAGGACATGCAGAAATCACTGTAAATTAATAAAGGAAGAGTTTAACACCCACTGACCAGTTGAGCAAATCATCATCGTGTTCACTTGCTTCTAGAAATCATTTGCAATGGATATTCTTTCAATTACCAAGAAAATTAACTACCTCAGAAGAATCAAATTAAGAAGTCCAGTGCAATGAGGTGGGAAGTCCTTTATGATTGGGATGGCCACCTGATGAGCAACAATTTCACATTTAATTACAATGTTGTATAATTTATAACTCTCCTTTCAAATGATGCCACAATGGAGGGGCTTCCAGCTAAGGGAATTATATTATGGGAGAAGACTCTACATAAGATAATCTCATCACTTTTCTGATAAGACAGGGCACTCCAACGAATAGTACTGGCTTTTACCTTGTTCTGATAAGCCATGTGTCTTATAGCAAGATTTTCCATCTAGATCTCCAAACCTATGTCTTTGATTACACACCCTTCCTCAGGCCAGACTTTGAGTCTGGCAAGAAACTAATTTCTTGCCGTCTCCACTTATTCCTACTGGATAATAAAGTATCTTTTTTTTCATGTTCAAACACATTATCACTTAGACACATTTGGAATCTTGCTGAAGTAGAGGGGTCAGAAGACAATGCAAGAGAAGAAATAAAAGCTAATAGTTTGAAGGGGTATGACTTAGAGGACCACATAGTTTCTGGGGAATTTCCAATGGGAAAACCAATGTGGCTGAAGACATATGTCTATATTTTGCATTTTATATAGATATTCTCATAATAGTAAGTAATGTTAGGGAGTTAAATTTGACTTCTTTTGACGTGTTTAGACTGTCCCTTTAACAAATAGCAATAATACTGGAAAAAAGACATGTACAAATATTTGTTGAAGGTAGCAGAGTCCCTAGACCTCAGTTTATTGCATTATGTTTTTTACCTATTTCAACCTTATTAGAATTATTTTTATTCTTCAAATGTTGTCTTATAATTAATATAATTAATATAAATTTTGAATTTCTTATTCTGTTTTAAAACAGAATTTTTTTTCATAGGATATAATTCAATAAATGCATTTTAATGTCATTGAAAAAATATGTTTTAGGACAAAGGCAAACATAATTAAAGAAATACTTGACACATTAAAAGTAAAGAAATATAAATAAGGTCTACTGTCAACATATCATTTAACACTTTAGAGGAACTACTGAAATTATAAAGACATTGTAATTTGAAAAGAAAAATAATATATAAAAAATAAGAAAGGAAGACCTTAATTTTTGTCAGAGATTATGTAATTGTGGATGAATAAAATTATCCTTCAAAATGTCCAAGTCTTGCATTATCTCTTCTGGAGGGCTTGATAGTGTGCACAGGAAAGCGAAGAGGAGTAGGAGAGACTAGTTGGACAGGGACAAAGACCACTAAAGAGTGCACTCTCTAACTCACACACTCAGTTGGGATAATGGACAGAGATCTCCTCCTTGAAGGCAGCAAGATGGCTGAGTTTACTGTGTGAAGTACTCAGCTCATTGGTACTCAGCAGTAGCCTACTTTCTATGATCCACGTCAGGTACTCTTTCTTACTCACATTTTTTTCCAGTCATCTTTTCTTTGTTCTCCAAACTGTCTACTTTCTTTCCTGCCCAGAACCTTTGCATACTCTTCACCAGCTTGGTGTCCTATCATTCCCTCCTCACGCCTTACAGTATCAAAATTTCTCACCATTATACCCCACTTCCTTCGGGAAACCTTCCTTAATTCTTGAGACCTGGGCTGAAATTTTATAGCACTGCATACATTTCCTTCACAATTATCCATACTGTAATTTAGTTATTGTGAAATTAGTTGTTCAGCATCTTTGTTCATCCATGTTCATCCATCCTCTTTTCTGTACCCTCATAAGTTTTAAATTATTATAAAGGCACTGAAAACTCAGGCCTTGCCTATCGTCTTTATTATCAGAGACGTGTTTGGTATATGAATAATTTCCATTATGGAGGACCTTGTATTTTTAGAAGACCAGTCTCCTTAAAAACAAACAAAAAAAATTGCCCTTTAATCTAAGAGTAATCAATTGAGTCATTAAAAGAAGTCTGTTGCTTTCACAAAACAATCTTCTAAATACTATGAGACAGTTCTCTGTCCTTCTGTATTTTCTCTGTCATTGAACACCATTCATTCATTCACTGCAAAAACATTTATTGAACACCTCATCAGATGGCATAAAGTCCAGAGTTTTTGTCACTTCTCACATACACTATGTTGACAATGTGGTTCCACTTTTTCCCTCCAGTGCCCTTGATTTTTGCTTTTCTGTAGTCTGTACTTTTTTTAACTTCTGCCATTGAAGAAATACACTGCATAGTGCCTCTTGAAGTTTCTTGTACATATCTTCAAAATTTGACTCTAGTTTTCCAGGGGATATCATGTTTATTAGCAAGCAGATGGTGTTGACAATAAAAAGGTCACAGGGTTCAGTTGTAAACACTAGGTAAATTGTGGGTATGGAATGGATAGAGAACAAACATATTCTTACTAGGGAATATTTTCCTATAAATATTTATACTCAAGGGAAAGTGAAAACTATTGGAAGGTTTAATACAATATGAAACTTAGAAAGGTGTTGTTATGGCTTAAATGTGTCCCCCAAAGCTTAGGTGGTGGAAACTTAATCCCTAATGTGCAATGTTCACAGGTGGAAACTTGAAGAGGTGATTAGGTCATAAGAGAGGAGCTTTCATGAATGCATTGATGTCATTATCATGGGACCTGGTTGGTTATAAAAGTGAGTTAAGCTCTCTCACATTTTCTTGCCCTTCTACCTTCTGCCATGGGATACTACAGCCTGAAGGACCCCGGCAGAGCGTAGCTCCATGATCTTGGACTTCCCAGCCTCTTATACTATAAGAAATAAATCTCAGTTCTTCACAAATTACTCAATCTGTAGTATTCTGTTTTAGCAGCACAAATCAAACTAAGAGGGCTGTCTTCTTTCAAAATGAATATTCTGATAGAACTTTTTCCATACTTAGATTAAAAAAGGTAAAGATGTAATGAGTGTAAAAATGTAATCATCTATATATAATAAGGACAAAATTTTAAAAGTATCTAGAAAATCAAGAAATCTGTAGGACCAACATGAAGAAAATTTTCACTGAAGTATATAACTTTTTAAAAAAAATTCGTAAAGAACAAAATATTTGATAAAGTAGAAGTAAAAATGGCAGTCTGGGAAAAGGCTTTAATGATTTCCAAACTTAGGAACAGATTTTGGACAAAACAGACTAAAATGTTGGTATATTTAAAATGATAAAAAATATCCTTTAGTCAAATGTGAAAATAATATGTATAACACTGTGGTAGTTGCTCTTCCCCAAATCATGTGCACTTTGTGATTTTTTTTTTTGAATAGAACATCCAGAAAATATTTGTCACCTTGTGCTCCCAGAATCACATCAAAACCATGATATTAAAAGAAGACTTCAGCAGAGACCAGGTAACTTGGAGAAGTCTCTCCTGGATACCTGCTCAGGTAAGAAGCTTAGAAGATAAAATTTTTACCCAGGTAGGGATTTTGTTTTTTATGCATGGAACTTCTTATGGAAATCTTAGTGAGAAGGGGGTGGAGGTGGGAAACACAATAAAACCTTGTCTCAGTGGATGGTAAAAAATTATAACATAGTATAGTAGGCTCTACTTGGAGTCCAGCATAGGCACAATTCTGAAGATACCTGTATCACAGTGAAACTATCCATTATGGGACTGACAAAAGAAAAAAAACAAGATCAACTTCCTCATGAACCTATTCATGTTAATCAATTTCTGTGTGTACATATGTATTTAATAATTTACACACATTAGAATGTAAACTGTTTTATTTATCTCTATTGTCCTTTCAAATTTTTCTTTATGTAGACTTTTACAGTCTTTTGTCCAGAAAGAAAGTTTGGTTATGTCCTATAGAATTTTTTACAATTTTTGTTAAAAGGCCTCTATCAATTCAAGAAGTAAATAAATTAAAAAATCAGTTATGAAAATTGTCTCTCATCATACTGCAATCTCCATATTTTATAGACTGGATATGATAAATTATAATTATGTATTACATGTCTCATCTGGATGGTATGCCACCTGCCTTTAAAATGTGAATGTCCTTTGCTTCTGTTCTATTTTCGTTTGGGGTCCTCAGCACAAAACTGAGGCCAAAACATCATGGCACATATTCACTTGTAAACTTGAACAATTAAGAGAAACTTACTACCTATACAAGGAAAATCAGTAACAGGATCAAATGACTTCCACTGAATCACAATAAGTGTAGAAGAGAATTTTTATGATCTCATTAGCATTTTCAATGAGATTTGAGCATTAATAAAAAGAATGCTATAATGAGAATGGAAAACTATAAAGAAAATAATTCTTGAATATTATCCTCCCCACAGTAAAGCCCTCAAAATATGATTTTTGAAAGTGAGCAAATCTCAAGAGAGAAACAATAAAAAATATGGTCAAAGTTGAAACATAATATTTTATATTAGATGAAGAAACAGTTTCTTTGATAATAAAAATACAAAAGCAATATGCAAATGACTTGAATATACATAAAATCAAACATTAAAATAAAAGGTACAGATAAAATATAGTAAAGTAGCTGAAAAAAAGCAAAACTGAAAAAATAAAATGAGACTCTCCTATTCTGAAGAAAGACTTAAGTCCCCATATTCTCAAATCTTTTTCCTTTAAATGGTTATTCTATTTTCATATGCATTTAGATATCAGTGCACTTATACATGTATTGATAGATAGCCCATATTTACTAAGAAATAATTTGCAGAGTTGTTGCTTAATAATTTAAGTTTTTATAAATATCCTATATGTAGAATGCCAGGACATATTGGATTAGGAGCACCAGGTATATAAAATTCAAATAAGTAGTTCTTATCTTTCAAGAATTTCATAATGTTATGAAGATCCTTATAACTATGTATGTGGAATTTTGCAACTTTCAGGTGGTACCTACCTCAATAAACATTAATTTCCTTTTTTGCTTACTGTGTTCCACATGATCTTTCATGTATACTGCAGATGTTATTATAAGAACTAGTTCTTCTGTGACAGAAGTTTATCTGCAACATTTTGGTAATATTGTCATGCCTTATTTTATAATATGCAAGTTTACCAATCACCATATATACATACTTCTGTTTGAAATAAATTCATGTTGAAAAATTATCTGTCCTTTTTAATAAATTAAAAAAATCTCTCCCTGGTGATCATAATATTTTAGAACATATTTTAAGTTTTCATTTAAATTATGTGGGGAATTGGTATGTAGCTCAGTGATAGTGTTTGCCTATTATGTATAAGGCCCTATGTTTAATCCCCACTACTACGAAAAGGTATTCCCTCTATCTCTTACACACACACACACACACACACACTCACACACACAAACATACACATATACACATGTGTATATATGTGTGTGTATGTATGTTGTATATGTGTGTGTGTTTGTGTGTGTGGGTGTGTAAGCCAGAATTGCATGAATTGAAGTTCAGGGATGTGTATAAATAGTTTTGTTCTGTTACTTCTTCCTCAAATTATCTTATTCATGTGAATCTACACTTATTTTTAAGAATTGAAACATTTCAAAAATAGAGGCCATGGAGCTTTTCTGTTAGAAAAATTTTTAGTGATTAGTAATTAATTTCAGCTATTAATGGTGGCTGCCTGACTTGATAATATGCCCATATGTCTAACCAGTGCTAATCTACATTGTGCAGAGGTCAATTCATTTAGAGATACACATTTTCATACGTGATCATCAATATCCTTTGATAGTGAATTCTCTGGAGAATTTTCAGCTAATTCATTCTCAGTATTTAGTTAGTAGGAATTTTTATGTGATGCTGAAGATGAGAATAATCAAATAACTAATTTCCACAAAGGCATTATATCTACCTGCTACAAGTTTGTATTGTAAAATTTGTATAAATATAAACATTTAACCACACATTTGAAAATTCCTTTACACATATATGAATTACAGTCAAAAATACTTCTAGGAGTGCCTGGAAAATGATAAATGTGTTTTAATTGTCAATCACGTAATTTAATAGTCAAACTGTTGTCATTCCATCTTTTTTAAAAACACATGAACACAAGTTTTCCCCTGTGGCAATGTAAATGTTCTTTCTTAAATGGATAGTTATTCCAGATTGGGGCAGAATTGTAAGCAATATAGTATAAATGTAAATTACCACATATTTTTACTAACGGAAATGTTGGGATATTCTGGGATGTGGTGACAGCTGTCAATAGAACTAACAAAAATCAGTTGTGTCGTCCCTGAGAAGAAGACGAAATGATTAACGCTGAAGGTAGGGTTGAACAGAGGTTGTCAATAGGTACAGAAATAGAACTTCTAGACGGTTGAACACCAAGGGTACAATGCAATGAAAGAAAATTTAGTAATTGTTAGTTCATGGATAAATAGATCAGGCACTATTACAACAATGGAATTTGTGATATATAAATAGTCACTAAGGAAAGAGATTGAAATGAAAGATTGGATTTACAAGTGGGGAAATTTCTCCCATATCGTTAATCTGTCTAGATAAAACTTCAACACACTACTTACCAAATAAAATAATGTAAGTGTATATAAACTTTAAGGTGAACTTTCTGAGGTTCAACACTGTCTTCTCCACATAAGAACTATGATCTTTTGAACAAAGTTTACTTCTCTTAACCCTCTATTTTCTCATAACTAAGAATAGGATTATTCATACAATCAACTTCAAAGAAGTAAAAGGTTTGGAAATTAATATTTGAAAGAGTTTTCATCTGTGCTTGGTTCATACATTTTACACAAAATTTTATTATAGAGAAAAATAATCTATATTGGAAAAAAAACCTACAGACATATCCCAGAATCAAACTATTCTATGGGTGAGATAAAATATAAAGTCTACAAGGAACCGTAATATACTAACTCATACCAGTAATTTCATGAAGTCAGGATGCTTGCCTATGCTATGGAAAGTAGTACCAAGGCATCACTGTGAGAAAAACAGACTTGGCTCCAGGCTATTCTATGTTCTCCAAGCCCATTGAATTCTCCTAAAAATCATTTGTTTTGTCTAAAACTTGTCTAACATCTCTACCATATCCCCTTCTTCTGTAGAAAAGGGGGTATATAAGTTTTGGGATCTTGTTGAGCTGGTTGGTAATCATACCATATGATTCTCTCCAGGCATGTAATGAATGTATGTTTCTTCCTTAAATAATCTGCTTGTGTCAGTTTATTTCAGTAAACTTTTAGGAGGTGAAGGGGAAGTCCTTTTGCCACTACATTATCTACAATAATAAACTTTAAATAGAAAGAATCAGGTAAGGTAACATATATACCATATTAACACTAAGAAACACTTTCAAAAGAAAGATATTAGAATAATTATATAAATTTCAGACCAAGTAGTCTTCAAACAAAAAAAAATGTTAGTTATGAAGAAGATATTAGATGATTATAAAGTGGTCAGTTCCCAAAGAAGATACAAAACCCCTTAATGTTACTAGAAGTAGTGATGCACACCTGTGATCCCATTGGCTTGGGAACCTGAAGCAGGAGGATCACAAGTTCAAGGCCAGCCTCAGCAATTTAGTGAGAGCTTGTCTTAAAATAAAAAATAAAAAGGGTGGGAACTTAGCTAGTGTTAAAGCACCCCTGGATTCAATTCCCAGAAAAAAAAAATGTCTGTTAGGTTTGGATTTAGAATGTTCCCCAAAGGCTCATGTATTGAAAGCTTGGTCAATGCAGTAATATTCAGAAGTGAGGATTTTTGGAGATGATTAATCTATTGAGGTTATACTTTGAATGGTCTGTTGGAAGACAATAGAAACTGTAGGAGGTGGGGCTTAGTTGAAGGGAGTGAGTCCTTGCGGACATGCCCTTGGAAATTATCATTTGTCCATGGATCACTTTTATTTCCTTCCTTTTCCAGACTCTTCTCCCATGATTTTCTGGCTCACTTCATGTCCAAAGCAATGGGCCAATGGACAGTAGATCTAGCAGAGTATGAATGGAAATCTTTGAAAAGTGATTCAAAACAAATCTTTCTTCCTCCAAATTGTTGTTCTTAAGTATGTTCTTAAGTATGTTGTTAAAAAAGCTAACATGGTGTATATGTGCAAATTTACTGTTATAGAGATTTCAACATTCCTTTGTCAGTAATTGCTAGATTAAACAAGAGAAGATAATAATGATGTAATTACTAAAATAATACTGTCAATCAACTTGATCTAATTAACATTTATAGACTATTCCATTGAAAGAGAGCGGTCCATACACTCTTCTCAAGATTACATCAGAAATTCAATAAGATAGATGAGATTCTTTTTCATAAAAATACAGGAAGCACAGAAATAAAAAGAATCCTTTCAGAAAATAGAAGAATTAAACTGGAAATGTCAAAAAGAAAAGTTGAATAATACCCAAATATTTGAATATTAAATATATTTCTAGATAAC